GCCACTACTCAAGGTGAAAATCTGGAGATTGTGCCCCGTCTACTTATGTACATCAAAACGAGCATCAAAATGTAACGTTAAATTGTTTTTATTAGTTAAGCTTGATATTTGTAATTTGTAATTAATAAAAGATTGTTCTTACTGATATGTGCTTCTTTGAATACTTGCCTCCGAGCTTGCCTCTTTGTTATGATGTGAAATAAAGTTAAGACTACTACTACATGGTGTTTTGAAGCATGGCTTTTTATTCCACTGAGAAATTAGTGGTGCCAGTATTTCGACATCCTTCGGATGTCCTTTTCACACATCGTAATAACGCATGAGGTAACATTTGTAAACATGTGTAACCGTGTGTAAACATTTGAATTTCCTAAAAAATCTAACGAGGTATTTGCAAATTTGCAAATTTTTCCCTGGTGACTCTCAAATAAATTTATGATGCCGAACTCGTTGATGAGATATATTGTACTTTACCTCATAACACTGCTCTTTGCTACATGAGCCAATAAAAATGTTTTTTTTTGTGATTTAAGATTTAAATCACGAGTTAGATCTAAAAATTTNCTCGCTTACAAAAACTGATAGACGCTGAAGGTGGTTATATTAATTACTAGAGCAAGTATTTGTGTAGAATTCTAAGTTGCAAATGTAGATCAACAATTTTTTTCAATCCTTTGTACAAATAAACTGCTATTTTTTATACAAATACTAAAAGTAGATACTTATTTCAAAATTTATTATTCTTGTGATTGATAAAGGAACAAAGTATGAGACGAAATAGGGGCGTCGGAGAGACCATAAACTTTTTCAGTAACAAGAGTAATTTTACAAAAAACAGCGGTCGTTAACTTGCGTAAGCTACCTGAGTCTTCTCGAGTGCCATTCAGTTATCATCCTCAACCCAGCGAGACGTATGCATGCATAAGTGTTCGGGTGACTTGTCCACTAAAATAACGGGTAATTAATATTAAATTTTGTCCAAACACAAGAACATTTGTAATGAATACTGTTTCTGAAAGACTATTGATGAGAGAAGAAATAATAATAATAATAATAATAATAATAATAATAATAATAATAATAATCATCATCATAAAACACAGTAGCGTACCCCCGATAAAGTAACCTTTACATAATGGTGGCTGCAAAAGACATCAGAATCACATTCAGGCCACTTGGATGACGATTTTAGTACAGCTGCCACGATGATTGAAGAATACTTGGTTGAAATACCAGCATCGACGAATATAAGCCCTTAACAGACATAAGATTGTTCCCGTTCTGGTCGAGCTACTCGTTGACAACATCTCATTATTGAAAGCTTACGAAAGATAAACATAATAACTTCTTATGAGTGTGAATAATTAAAATGATCATTTTTTTCTTGTGCTTATGTTTATGGTAAGCTGATGGGAATTCCTTAATAAAAGTGACAACCTGAAAAAAATACATAAAAACACAAGGTATCGCATTGCTTGGGTTTCATTTATTTAGCTGAAAAAGAATTCGTGGTACTTATCTGACATTTTGCTGTTCTCCTAGGTTTGAACTGTACTCGCAGTCTTGAAATTAATTAGATGAAAGCTCGAACAACCATGTATAAAACCATTTCTAGCATATCACGTGGAATTCATCGTAGAATTTAACGACTTCTTGATTCTGTGCATCTGATATCAACACATATTTTGGAGTTAAAGTTTCTAGAAATAAACACAAGCTTTTCATAAACAAATGCAGTGGCTATCGGCTTACAACGTGCACACTCTTGTCTAGGGATTCATACTTCACTGTCATTAGGACTCTAACGTCAAACCCTAATAAATTACAGAAATAATATCGTTGGGATAATCTTAATTGGAAAATGTGTCTCACTTCCCTGTATGGACCAAAAACTCCAAAATAATGCATGGACGGTAGCAGAAGATGCAGTAGAAACTGTAAACAACCAGGTTCTTTCTCTCTCTCTCTCTCTCTCTCTTTTTCTCTAGGAATATGACAAAACTCCGGGTGCCCTGCATAACTAACGCCATCTCTGATCGACCAAGTACAATCAATGGGCGATGCTGCCATTTGGGGATTTGGGATTTCGGATTTGGGGGATTGGGGGTCAGCCGGGCCGGGCCGGGTCAGCGGCGGGCCGGCGGCAGCGCCGGGAAAGAATCACGCACATTCCTCTGGTGTACGTGTAAGCGAGTTGGAGATTGGAGACTGGAGTGAGTGAGTGACTGCTTGGCTGTCTCTACTCTACCGCCACTCCGCAGTTCCGCACTCGGCTGTGCCGCAGACTGCAATGCCCGCAGCTCCGCGTCGATCCGTCCGTAATAGACCAAGAGCTGAGCCCAAAGTGTAAAAAAAAAAAAATTACTGCCGCAACATTTACAGAAGTTAAAAAAAGCATTCATTTGTACAAAATTCACAATTATTTGTGATTTTCTTTTGGTCACAAGTTACATGGTAAAACAAAAAGTACCATGTGATCTAAGCGATATTACTGCTGATACCTAGTCCAATTGTTAAAAAATAAAAAAGTAGTTCAATGAAGTATCATTTGCGGAATGATAAGGACTTTTCTAGCACCCGAAAATGGCCCCCCAAACGGGTGGTTAACGTGAAATCTAATGCATTTCTTAACCTTGCGCACTAGGTGCGTAAATATACTATTTTCTTGCACTATTCGTTGACGACAAATGTTTTGTAAGCAGAAAATCGTTTATGTTTAAAGTAAATGTACTTATCATGACCATAAATTTCATCATACTTGCTTCTTTGATTTTTTTTTCTTTACTGTCAGCTGTAACAGTAAAAATTTTGGTATTAGCTGGTGCACTGTAAATTTACCATTATTATTCTAATTTTTAAATATGGTTCTTAATTGTTAATGGTAGTTTTCCTACGAGTTTGAAAAGTCTCTGTTTGCGAACCGAGAGGTTTGCGGCCCGAGCCGAAGGCGAGGTCCGTAACGAGGTTCGTAAAGGAGACTTTTCGAACGAGTTCCGGAAAACTGCTTTTTCGCCCGAGGAAGTACCAGCCTCCCAAAACCACCCGAGGGCGGTAAAATACTTTATTTTATAAAAAGATTATAACACCAAAATGTATAATTATGAACCTATTATTTCATATTATGTCCCTATTCATAAAATTTTTTAAAAAACGTAAATTTAGTTTAATATTTTAAGAAAATGAAGGTTTTTTTACTTGCATAAAGCTATTTTATTTAATAAAAATAATTATATTGTTAATTTGTTTACCAGAAGTATATAAATTCCTTGTTGAAGTTTGGTGCCATACTACGTATGGTTCAAAAGATAGGTTATGTACGACTCTGTCCCTATTAATGGAATTATGTTTAAAATTGGTTATTTATTGTATGTAAAATGAAATTTTTCTTGTGAATTCATAAAGATACATAAAATATACAACCACCACAATTTTTTTATCAAGTAAGTTGTATGACAAATACATGAATTTTCATATTCCATGAATAGGGACATTTACCTCAGTCTACAGGCCACAATAGTACTCTAAAGCTGGAAATGTCACTTCCGTACCCTTCAGTGATAAAAGTGTCTCTTTTTCTAGCTTTCGTGCATCAGAATTTTACGAAACTTTTTTTCCAGTATTGTAAGGATGAAACATGAGATATGTGTCTCGGCGTTTGGCCGTCTAATTATTTTTTTTTCGTTGGTACATCGATTCCATTTCCAACACTATATAGTTGCGAAGAAATACACAATTTTTGGTGGCTCAAATTACTGCTGAAACAAACCTCTATCGATGAAAAAAAAAATTTGTCGAACTTGGTGCCATTAATGAAACGTTATAAGGATTTTTTTTTTAATTATGAATTTCCGATAAAAGTCTACAAAATCTTATTTTGAGCGATTTTTATCGCTCCTCTTTAAACAGCTATTACTTTTGAACACAGGCACTTAATGGAACGAAAGGTTTTTTCATCGATAGGGTTTAACTCTAGCTTTTATGCAATCCCAGTTAGAACACTTTAACTATACAAATAGCTTAGCTACACGTACCAGAAGCAGATAACTCTTTTTCAAAAATTGACTTATACTCAGTACCGTATATCTTTTGACCCAAAAACTTTGTAGTGGAATTGCTTTGGATATTAAGTTTTTTGTGGATGGCATGTTGAGCCACTTACGGTTTACGGCACATTAGAATCACTCATATATACGTATAAACACATTATATATACCTTATATGTGAGCATTATTAGGCTGCGTTTAGATGGAGTCTGGGAGTTTGACAGACTGGCATTGAAGCTCATAAGAGTGAGAGAGAGGTTATATGTGATCACGTGATGAACCTCTCTCTCACTTTTATGGGCTTCAATGCCAGTCTAGCGGGAAATTTTTTACGAAATCAAATTTTTAATACCAATTAATTCGTAAAAAATGAATGCATATAATGGCGTCTTTTGAAATTTTATATTTTATGTATGTAATCATTTCATAATCGACCAAAAATTAATCTAGGACCAAAAACATTCCTCACTTGTCAAAAAATGTGCGTGAAAATTGCGTAAGAAGTGCACGGATATGTTTTTCAAAACTGACGGTATGCTACTAGGGAACGAGTAGTTAAACAGCTACAGCATCTAGCATATTGCCCAAGCGGAAATTTTTTTTTGATTAAGTAACGAAAAAAAAAAATGACTAATAGTAATATNTTGTCAAAGTTTGAGAGAGCCCTACCACAAATTTCTATTAAAAAACAGCAAAAATGTGCTCGCAGCAGACGACTTGGCAACGCTGCTTTTGGAGCGCGCTTTGAAATGTAATGAATAGTAAAAACTCCTTTTGTAATTGAAAATTTAATTATAAAAAATTCAACCGAATAAATAAGTACACTGTCATCAGTAGACGACGACAACAGCAGTAGACGACAACAACAGTAGACGACGTGCCAGCAGCCGAAAAAATTCACAACGTTGCCAGACGCTCTCCCTCCCCTTGCCTCTCTGAGATTTCGCCCCGCTAACACTACCGAACCTCCTTAAGGAGGCTTTGGCGATTTTGAATTAAATGCTGGCTAGGTCTGAAATTCAGAGATTATGTAGATAAAGTTTGCTAGATTTTTTTAGGAAAACAAAATAGCTAGGTCAACACATTTATTTTCGAGAAAATCGCTTGTGAAAATTCGTCATTTTAACACGCAACCTTACGGAACCAGAAATTCAATAGACTACTGTACCGCAATAAAAAGCTGTGGGCCCACACATTAAATTGGTACATGTACTTGAAAGTATAAAGAATCTATTATTTAAAAAAAAGAATAGGATTAACACGTTAAATTTTGAGAAAATAGCGAGGAAAACATCGAACATGAGAATTGTTTTGTTCAGGTACCGTAAGTGCGCATGCGCTGTACATTCATAAACATACAAGCATGAAAATTTAAGTCTAACACAAGTATAGGTATATAATGGCAGATGAGAGGAAGAGAGTACAGTGTTGTCAGCTTTATCGTGGCAGGGCCGTCATCTTTACAGAAGGTACCTCGGGAAAACTATTAAATTTTTTAATATCGATTTTCCCAATGACTTTTCCGCGTATTATTGCTATTTTGTTCACGCATGTGTATAATCAAAATGATTATGAAAAAAATATTACAAAGAGTCATTTGTATGACAAGTACCCCACAGGGGCCCGTCAATAGATACGACACCAAACGCCCAAGCCTCCTTAACCCAATACTTCTCTCACACTGTCGATATATGGATGGTATTCATGCTACAGATGCTTGATTTTTTTTTCCGTGTACTTATAATAAAATGTTCTACAACTGTGACGCTTCATGTCTTATCATAAAATGCTTAACTTTTAAGATATTCAAAGATATCTATGATTTGCGTGTGGTAATCTAAATATGCTTATTGATTAATGAATAAAAATGTTTTCAAGTACTTACAAAAATAGACATAATAATTGAGATCATATGGTACGTAACTACGATTTTTTTCAAATGCAAATGAATTAGAAATGTATTATTATACTGTGTTTTTAGAGAGTGCAGTTATTATATTACTAAAAGTTATTAAAAAAACGTCAAATGTTTTTTATTAACGTACTCGCACTTAAACAACGGATCCACTCGTTAATTATAGACGTGTGAAAAATTAAAACCTTAGTAATTGATAAGTTAACAAATAGTAGTTAATGTACCACGTACTAGTACTAGTATCTTTTCTTCTATCGGTATGCGAATGTGCATGTGTATGTACGTGCGGCAACTGCGCGTGCAAACGATGAGTATATACGTGTTAAACGAAATAGGGAGTTTATTTTGATCAAATTACTTTAATGACGAAGATGCCGTAAGTATAATTGCGAGGACCTTTTCCAGCTGAGGAAAAGGCCTGGAACTGCATTAAAAAATATACTACATGATAGAGGGAATAAAAGATGTGACTATGTTTAACTACACGGGTATAAAAGGCAGTAAGTAAATATGTAAAGATAAAAAAGAAAAAAACAGATAAAACGAGATTAAAATTACCTCGAGGAAGTCTTCGAGTCCTCCGAATCTTTCGTAGCTTTGACCTCACGCTCTTTGTCTGGATTCTTGTGCTGCGTTATCCTCATGCCTCCGGCTTTGACTGCAGACAAAGCGAACCACAGAACGTCATTACAAACAAGGATTGCATGTATATAATATGCATACACTCGTAGGTTTGATGCGCATATAACAGGTGTAAGTAAAATAACTAAGGAAAAATTTCGAAGGCTCTGAGTTTTGATATCTCGGAGTAAATAATACAGCCATTTTGTATTATTTTGTGTTTACGTACATATGCACGCATCGAACGTTCAGGCATAGCCTTGAAAAAGCGTCGATGACGACGCTGCCAGCCGGTATGGCTATACCGATGGTTGAGGAAGACAATTCCAGCGTGACGTCACTCCGTGTTATTTCAAATGGGGCGACGTCACGCTGGAATTGTCTTCCTCTGAACCATCGAATTATATATAAATATCTTGCTTTAAATTTCCTCATTTAGGTCTAAATATTTGTACTTATAAAGAATAGTTAAATTTTTCGTGACACAAAAAACACAGCTAAGAGTGATTTTAATAAAAATTTACAAAAGCATGCTGGATGAGGCTATAGAGATACTGAAGTAACAGCTGTCTTACAACTGCGTATTACGTATGTCAATAAGTGATACATTGTTCTGCGCTGATAAATACAATAATTAATATTAACCTGCAGGAGGATGGCCGGCCTTGAGGTTGCTTTCCTCGAAGCTTGACATCTCGACCTTCGTGTGCGTCCTTTTGTGGGTTTTCAGAGAAAAATAAAGAAGGTGTCTCGGAAAAAGAAGTAAATCACAATCGCACTCTACTACACGAGATAATTCTTAATGCCTTAATGCAGGTTGGAACTTCACTCCGTGCTAACTGCTGTAACATCTGGAGACGTGCAACGGTGCAACATAAGCTGTATAGGTAGAATGTGATTCTTTCCCGGCGCTGACCCCAAATGGCAACATCGCCCATTGATTGTACTTGGTCGATCAGAGATGGCGTTAGTTATGCAGGGCACCCGGAGTTTTGTCATATTCCTAGAGAAAAAGAGAGAGAGAGAGAGAGAGAAAGAACCTGGTTATTTACAGTTTCTACTGCATCTTCTGCTACCGTCCATGCATTATTTTGGAGTTTTTGGTCCATACAGGGAAGTGAGACACATTTTCCAATTAAGATTATCCCAACGATATTATTTCTGTAATTTATTAGGGTTTGACGTTAGAGTCCTAATGACAGTGAAGTATGAACCCCTAGACAAGAGTGTGCACGTTGTAAGCCGATAGCCACTGCATTTGTTTATGAAAAGCTTGTGTTTATTTCTAGAAACTTTAACTCCAAAATATGTGTTGATATCAGATGCACAGAATCAAGAAGTCGTTAAATTCTACGATGAATTCCACGTGATATGCTAGAAATGGTTTTATACATGGTTGTTCGAGCTTTCATCTAATTAATTTCAAGACTGCGAGTACAGTTCAAACCTAGGAGAACAGCAAAATGTCAGATAAGTACCACGAATTCTTTTTCAGCTAAATAAATGAAACCCAAGCAATGCGATACCTTGTGTTTTTATGTATTTTTTTCAGGTTGTCACTTTTATTAAGGAATTCCCATCAGCTTACCATACACATAAGCACAAGAAAAAAATGATCATTTTAATTATTTACACTCATAAGAAGTTATTATGTTTATCTTTCGTAAGCTGTCAATAATGAGATGTTGTCAACGAGTAGCTCGACCAGAACGGGAACAATCTTCTGTCTGTTAAGGGCTTATATTCGTTGATGCTGGTATTTCAACCAAGTATTCTTCAATCATCGTGGCAGCTGTACTAAAATCGTCATCCAAGTGGCCTGAATGTGATTCTGATGTCTTTTGCAGCCAACATTATGTAAAGGTTACTTTATCGGGGATACGCTACTGTGTATTAAGATGATGATGATTATTGTTATTATTATTATTTTTTCTCTCAACAATAGTCTTTCAGAAACAGTATTCATTACAAATGTCCTTGTATTTGGACAAAATTTAATATTAATTACCCGTTATTTTAGTGGACAAGTCACCTGAACACTTATGCATGCATACGTCTCGCTGGGTTGAGGATGATAACTGAATGGCACTTGAGAAGACTGAGGTAGCTTACGCAAGTTAACGACCGTTGTTTTTTGTAAAATTACTCTTGTTGCTGGAAAAGTTTATGGTGTCTGCGACGCCCCTATTTCGTCTCATACTTTGTTCCTTTATCAATCACAAGAATAATAAATTTTGAAATAAGTATCTACTTTTAGTATTTGTATAAAAAAAAGCAGTTTATTTGAACAAAGAATTGAAAAAAATTGTTGATCTACATTTGCAACTTAGAATTCTACACAGATACTTGCTCTAGTAATTAATATAACCACCTTCAGCATCTATCAGTTTTTGTAAGGGAGTAGGCATTGAGTTGGCCAAAGTCTCAAAGTACTGTGGCTTATCGATAAGATTTTGCCATTTTGAAATTCAAATGCCATTCAAAAATCGAAATAGTCTGGTAATGAAAATTGAAAAATGTATGATGACTTTCAGTTAGGGAAACCATTCAACATTTGAATTTTTGGTGGAATCGCGTCAAAATTGGTGATTAAGTAGTGTTCTCCCTTTGTCAGTCTAATCTTCTTCTTGAATCTAAATGCCAGGTCACTTGTCAAACGATTATAATCTTGTTTCAAGGCGTAATAGGATTTGGTGACAAAGTTTTCTGTAAGTATAAAAGGAATAGTAAAAATTATAGTGTGTGAAATAACATTTCGTTTTCGTAATAATGTGAATCTCTTCATTTTTTCGCAACTTACTTGTTACCACAGACGGGCCAAAGCACTCAGCAAAACTTGGTGAGTTACAATTATAAACAACACCCTCCCACACTCTGTCCACCATATCTTTCGTCATTTATAATCGATATTCAACACCAAAAAGTCATCGAATTTCTTCCATCTCTTGTTCCACTAAAACCGGATTTAAACATAATAGAAAATGCTTGGTCCGAGACGGTAAGAGACTGGAGACCTGGAATGGCGCAAAATGAGATTCACGAAAGGGTAATTTTTGAATGGCAAAATCTTATCGATAAGCCACAGTACTTTGAGACTTTGGCCAACTCAATGCCTACTCCCTTACAAAAACTGATAGATGCTGAAGGTGGTTATATTAATTACTAGAGCAAGTATCTGTGTAGAATTCTAAGTTGCAAATGTAGATCAACAATTTTTTTCAATTCTTTGTTCAAATAAACTGCTTTTTTTTATACAAATACTAAAAGTAGATACTTATTTCAAAATTTATTATTCTTGTGATTGATAAAGGAACAAAGTATGAGACGAAATAGGGGCTTCGCAGAGACCATAAACTTTTTTAGCAACAAGAGTAATTTTACAAAAAACAACGGTCGTTAACTTGTGTAAGCTACCTCAGTCTTCTCGAGTGCCATTCAGTTATCATCCTCAACCCAGCGAGACGTATGCATGCATAAGTGTTCAGGTGACTTGTCCACTAAGATAACGGGTAATTAATATTAAATTTTGTCCAAACACAAGAACATTTGTAATGAATACTGTTTCTGAAAGACTATTGATGAGAGAAGAAATAATAATAATAATAAAAATAAAAATAATAATAATAATAACAATAATTA